TACTTTTTTATAAAATTAGTCATTTATATTCTTATTTTTACCCATTGTGCAATAATTTTAGAAAACTAAAATATACCTATTAAAACAATTAAACTTTAAGCACAGTGATTACTAAAATAAAATAATAATTATTATTATTATTAAAGGGAAGTATTTAATTGAATGTGATTTTTAATGTAAGTCATTTTAAAAATTAAAATAAATTTAGAAAACTAAAAAAAAATAAACTTTAAGCACAGTGATTACTAAAATCTACAATGATTACCAACCAACATGCATGTTGTCAGAAGAAATGAATGAATTAAAGGCGTATAAGGAGTGTACAATAGCAAATTAAGTAAAGCTAGATAAAAGCAAGACAACCCAACATTGTTCACCCTGTTGCCCACCCACTTTAACAATGGTATATTCCAATTGGGTGGTTTATGTCCTGGGTGGTTTATGTCCTGGGTGGTTTATGTCCTGGGTGGTTTATGTCCGTATACCAATTAATTAATGTGATTTTAAGCAATTTAATGGCATTAATACAGCGAGGAATTTGCGAACAAAACAGTGGATTTTATTAGGTTTGTGTAAGTTAATAAATGTTGTAAGATTCATATATTTCGTTTTATCTTTGAAACAAACGAACAGTGGATTTTATTAGGTTTGTGTAAGTTAATAATAATGTTTTAAGATTCATAATATATTTCGGTTGATCTATTTGAAACAAACTAATTTATATGTTGATAATCAAACCAAAGGATTTTATTATTTTCATATTACAGAGTCGATGCATATATTGCAGAGGAAGAAGAATGTTGATAATATTATTATACAGTATTACTGCCAAATTTTATTATATTTTTCGTAATATTATTAAAGCTTACAGTATTTGATGCTTGATGTTTCGTTGTATATTATTTCTAGGCCTATACTTTTTTAAATGATTGATTGATTTAAAGCAGAAAGTATATAAACGCCACAAAATCACATTATTGATGCCCGTCGTCCGGCAGCACTCAAAATTTCCGACTGACGCTGACAGGCTGCCGACCGACACTGTTATTTTTTTCAATGATTTTGTGTATTATTTTAGAAAAAAAAAGCATGAAATACATCGCCCTAAAATCAAGAACATTAACTGCAAACGCCCTTCATTGAGAAAATAACAATAGAAATACACGTTTCCGCGGTTACGCTTGTATTAGATAGGGCAAAACACGCCCATTCGTGCAGAGAACAAGTGTGCAGTGTCTGCCTATTGATGAATCACATACGAATTCACCAACTCATTAAAAGTTCAACCTGGTTTTAACGAGCAATAATACTGTTATAACACACAACAGAGTAATGATCATAATCAATGTCTGTATTATGCTTATGTAAAATAACCAATAGACAATAAAACAACACGTCGTATAGGCCATGGCCACAAACCCTACATTATAGGGTATGTATAGGCGAACAACTCTGGGAACAACTACATTTCTGGACCATCGCACATGTTCGTACAGTTACCATGTACGGAGATCAAGCCAGTCGGCTATTTTCAGCATTTGACATTCTTTTCTTGTCTCCGATAACATTCTTTTTTGAATTGGCGGCGTACAAAGACTTCTCCTCCGATAACATTCTTTTTTGAATTGGCGGCGTACAAAACTTTGTGTCTTTATTCTCCCAAGAGTATCATTGGACCCGGCCTACTTGTGGGAACGTTTCCCACTGAATTATTTGTTACTAGGCAACTTAGTACTGGCAGCTTGATACCTATTTAAAACAATTTATTTCCATTTCATGCCTAGATTTAATTATTAATTCATAACCAATTAGTCACTTTTATCTGGAACGACGTATAATCGTCTTGCAATAGGTACGCTTGTTTAATCGTACATATATAATTATAATACAGGATTAATTAATTACCGTATATTATATACTTTCCAAGATACAAATCAAGTTTCTTGATAAGTTACAACAGCTATAGTTAAATTAAATTTCTTCCAAGCAATAACGTTTCAACTTATAATATTTTGCAGGATAAAATAAATGTAAAACACTTCTTAACTAAAAATCTATTAAAACTACTCCGTAAAACAATCAATCTTAATAATAATGTACTAAATTACATATTTAAACGGTATTGTGTTCTTCTAAGTAGAAGTAAAAACAAACAAAACAACACATTTTTATTTATACTCTTTATTTCAGAAATTCGATTTTATTATGGATGATTTCCTTGTACACTATACCCCCTAACTTGTGGCCAACATTGCACTGTGATATCTAATTCACGCATTGATTACATGTACACTACTCGGCGTTCCATACAATAACCCTTATTTGGGCATTGAATATCTTACGGCCGAACAAGTGCACGGCCGAAGCGCACGTCATAGCTCTCTCCTGGCCTAGATAAGTTCTAAGTAAGTTTAAAAGGTTAGTTAATAATAATATACTTTGCTAGGAGGCAACTTTGCTAGGGGCGACTTGACGGGGGCGACTTGGTTAGGGGGCGACTTTGCTAGGAGGCAACTTTGCTAGGGGCGACTTGACGGGGGCGACTTGGTTAGGGGGCGACTTTGCTAGGAGGCAACTTTGCTAGGGGCGACTTGACGGGGGCGACTTGGTTAGGGGGCGACTTGACAAGGGGGCGACTTTGTAAGGGGCGACTTTACAAGGGGCGACTTGACTGCCATTCGTTAAAAAAACATTGCTGTTTTGACGTTTTAAATGTAATGATTTCTTACCGATGGTTGTTTTTCAGTTCTTGGAGCTGCTTCGGATACCTTGGGAGATAAAGTGTAGCCTATATTTTATTTTATTGAAATTAATAAATACATTCTGGAATAAAAAACATACAAAAGCAAAAAATTCCTAAATGAATGCATCACAAACTATAAATGGTAATATTTAACTTTAGAAATATACAAATACATGCAAATTGCAATCACAATAAACAAAATACCAAATCAATTACAAACCATTACACTATATTAATTAACTTAACAATCGTTGAATTTGGAGACGTTCAAATTTCTTTGTTTTCAAATATAATCAACTCACGGGTAATTTTTTAGAAGTATTGTGGAAATAATTTAAATAATTAATTAAAATTAATAAATACTCTTATACTTCATGGTAAAAATTTACAACAGTATTAACACTATTTTATCAAAAAATAATTCAGTGTTCTGATTTTATTCAACTTAGCAATCTTTCACATTAATCACATTTCTTTGTTTTCAATATAATAAACTCACGGGTCATTTTTTAGAAGTATTGTGGAAATAATTTAAATAATTAATTAAAATTAATAAATATTCTTATACTGCATGGTAAAAATTTACAACAGTATTAACACTATTTTATCAAAAAATAATTCAGTGTTCTGATTTTATGATATATATATATATATATATATATATATATATATGAGAGGTAATGCTGTCGTTTGTTGTGTTGAAGACTTTGGTTAAAATCTGCGTAGGCTAGGGGATATGATGGTACTTTCGCAGCACTATAGCCATGCCGGTTCCCACAAGGTCCCAGCCTTTTTTAATTGCCTACATTACAATTTTCTCTAAAACTACTATAGCGAAATGGATTTTCATAATCAATAACTACTGATTTTATTATATTCCATCTTTCTTACCGCCGGTTGTTCATAATGTCTGGGTGTTGCTTCAGTTACCTATAAATGATATAAATCAATAAAATTGTTGTTTAGATAAAAATCTTTAAACACTGTTAATCATAAAATCATATATCTAACTACTAGTCGTCAATACACTGCTATGTCGAAGATGGGTTGTCACAAGCAAAAACCGAGTTATTATTAATCAAGCACAATGAGTGATAAAATAGAATCACATTTGTGATAAGATTCATACATATGTCACGTTGTTTTGTATTGTTAAAGTGATCATTTCAGATGGCAGTTATCATTTTATATTCAGTCACATCTGTATGTAAATTATCAGATCAACTATCGATAGTTCTTATACGGAGTAAAGCATTTAATGCTTTAAAGCATTTAATGCTTGAAAAAAATTCTTTAGGGCCTGCAAGGCCCGAAGGAAATTTTTGAATGCATTAAATCTAACCTATAAGTATGGGCCTAATAATTTTCCATTTAGTGTACGATGCATGCTCTACTAATTGTTTTTTATAAGTCAATCGCCGTCTTTTAATGTTAGTTTTTTTATAACCAACTGTTGTTGCAGCAGTCATCGGTTGCTATAGTGATATGATCAGTATACGTGTGCGTATTTTCATTTAGCTGTGCGTACGCTGATCTTTGCTCCCCGGCAGTATGTACGCGTTTAATTAATTAACTACACACAAAGATAATAAAGTACAGTACGGATACGATGAATAACTATTGTGTTAGAAAGAACTTGTTTGTAATGCTATTTTGATAGACTTTCGTAAAAAAAATAAACATTTCAGCATTCGAGAGAGAGTACAGTCACTGACGTCCTTTTTGGTCGGTGCATGCAGACAGGTAAAATTGTGCGATGATTTCATAACTAGGCTAGGCTAAGGCCTAATAGTAGTAGGAGGAGGAGGCCCGGGCGGCCTCCTGCCTGATCGTAGGTCTACATCTAAATTTGTTCCTTGATTCTTTAAAATAGGTCTAGAATATTCCTATTAAACGTTCAGTTTGTTGTGTTTATAATGAATTCCTTAATTGTTCATGCTTAATATTGAATTTGAAGTAAAATTCTTCGGGTTCTAGTTTAGCTTGTTTTACGAAAGTAATTTTAAATTACAATTCAATGTATTCGCGGCGGCAAAAAAAAAAAAAAAAAATGAGGAAATGTTTTACGAGGTGACAAAAAAAAAAATCAGCCAAGCGTCCACTAATATAAAATAGGTACCTAAAAGGTATGCGGCTACTGAGCTCATAATATAGAAATACTGGTGTGGCGCTTTTCATGCACGTTCCCATGTTACATATCTCGCATTCCTCTAGTACAGTAGGCCTATCATAGGTCCAATGTAATAGTAAATTAAAACTTTAATACAAAAGATAAGAAATACTTGTGTATTCATTGTGTTATTTATTCATCTTAACACTGTATACATTGTATTTAAAACCCAAATTCTTTAGTTACACAAAAGGTAATAATATACTCTTAAGAGTCACGACGAGGTGCTTTTTTGCGCATTTAGGGTATTAAAAACTATATAATCTGAATCCACGATTTTGTAACAAGATAGCAATACAAGCTTTTATTTTAGTTATAAGTCGGTTTAATACAGAAAACGTATTTCTAAAACTTGTTATCACTTGCAAATTGACATCTTATTGAACATTTTAAACATTTTTGCCTGCAATCTGGATGTTTAACTTTGTAATGAAAATTTCTCAAAATAGTTGTCTGTACTGAACACGATGGATCCATCAGCATACATTGTGTAATATTTTTAGCCCATTTCTTGTGTTGAACTTTTTGGTTCCTGAAAACTGTATAACCTTAGCTTTTATGGTTACGAGTTGAGTGCTTACACTCGAATTCAAAGAATGTTTTGGGTTGATAAAATTTATAAATTTGGAATGGTATCTCTTCCAACTGCTTTATTTAAATTTTTGATTTTATAAGAATATTGGTCCCAAAGTCCCTCATCTTCACTGGACTTTGGTTTTCAATAGTTCTGGAATTCAGTGTGATATGAAGCAGAACAAACAGTTTCTTGAAAATTGTCCGCAGTGGTTTGTAATTGTAACTTGAAGTACTGATTTGTGTTTGTTTTTAACTAGAGATACAATATGAATGTCGGCTTCCCATGTCTTCTTTCTTTCTTTTTTTTTTTGGCCATATTTTTCAGTTCATTAACCTGAAATGATAAAGTATAAAATGCAAATTTAATTATTCATGGTGAAAAATTAGTTAAATATGAAAATGACTGAAGCTTTACATACCTTAAAGGCACCCTTGCAGTATTATTGGTTTACAATTTTGCTGCCCGTTTCATAATGGAAATTAATTTAAGATACATACATATATATAATATATATAATTAATTTAAGATATATATATATATGTATATATATTTTAATGTTTTAAATATGTTATGTTACTAAAATATTATATATTATATTATAATTATATTATTATTTCTTTATATGTATGTATATATGTATTTACATTTGTTTATATTTTATTTATATTGTTTATTAATTTGTATAGAATGTATAGAATGCATTAATATTATTTAATAGTTAATAGCATAAATATTACATATATAAAAAATTAAATAAATTATTCATATATACTTTGTTGTTATATATTTATATTGTTGCCATTTATTTATTATATATTTATATTTATTATTACCAGTATTAACAATAATAATTTTTAACATGTATAACGACTAATGAAAAATGCATATTTATAACACTAGACCTGATCATGGATAACTATCACAAGTCCAGCTGCAGGCCGATTCAAGAGTCCCCACTTGCTAGAAATGTTATTAACTGAACTGTAAAATGTAGTAGTAGTAGGGCATAGGCCTAAGACTAACTATGCCTAGATACACTTTTGGTCGTTTAGCCAAAGATACTAGAAATACAAGATAGAGTTCTCGCGTTGTAAAAATGAGGCGAAAGTCGTGCCCAACGTAGGCGGCGCCCTTCTTTTTAACCATGCAAGTTTCCTATACTTCGTGCCCAACGTACAGGGCGCCCTTCTGTTGCTAAGTATATCCAGACGAAAAAGGCGCCCTTTTTTTTCCACTAATGGAGGAAAACTTTTTCACTAAGAGTGCGTCCGGACATGCGATTCTGCGCTGTATTGTTGTTTAATTCTTTACTGATTCATGATTATGCTTTAATGGTTTTGTGTATTATTTGGATAATAGCAACGATTTCTACCGCCACCAAGGAGGTTATGTATTCACGGATGTCACTGTCTGGGTGTCTATTCCAGTTTGTTTTTATATCTAGTATCTTTGTTGAGAATTGATAATAAAATAGGCGACGACCTGGTAACGAAAGTTTGGCACAAGTTTTTTTTAGATCCAGCTGTAGGGGCGTCCCGTTTTTCGTATTCCCACCATGCATTTCGGTGGAACACGGTGGAACACTTTTTTTGTGTGGAGAACTCTATCTTGTATTTCTAGTATCTTTGGTTTAGCCAGATATGTTTACCTACCTAGCCTAGGCGGCCCTATAGTTTCATTAGCAATAGTCCTACTACTTTCCTAGCTACAACATGTTTTTTTTTTTAACTTTTTATGTATAACCATGGCTGCTGAAATGACCGTGCATCAGCCGAATGTAGTACAATTGTTTATCAGTGTGATTAATCTGCTCAATAAACAATTTTAATTACTTGTGCAAATATAAAGATGTGGGTAACCTACGTCTTTATATACGACTTTTCATGGATCTCGACCTGCTATGTAGGCCCTCTTTAGGCTAGACGCTCCTAGACGATTGAAAGCGACGATCGAAGAAAAACAGTTAAGCAAGCCAAGGACTTTGCTAACTTCCATTCTACAGTAAATTCTTCCATTGATGGGCACTGTCTAAAACTGTTTCTTCCAGCTTATCTCTGAAAATCTTTTCGTCTGCAGTTGGCTCAACATGAATTACACAGGAGCCAGTGAGCTTCCATGGCGGCCTAGGCTCGGACATGCCACGTTGTTGTTTGTTGTTATTTCGCGACGTCACCAACGAGTACAATACATTCATTATCCACCATCAACTAAACTGCCTTAAAGAAGAAAAAAAAATGGTTCGTGTGGGAATCGAACACAGAACCTCCATGTTTGGTGTTCATTATCCACCATTAACTAAATCGAACCCACGACCTTCAAAAAGAAAATAAATAAATAAATAAAAATAAATAAATTGGAAAAAAAAACTTGCCCCGTGTGGCGATCGCCGAGTTTACTACCCCTGATCCAGCATGACTAAACGGAGGGCCGGTAAACCGCGGCCCCTAAGCCATAAATACGATAAACCTAGTATCACACCATGTACCAGTTAGTCAACTCTGATCCTACTAGAAAAAAGTATTCGTATATATACATTGCAGGTTAATATTACGCATGGTCATGGTGTCAAAAATGGGCCGTGGGCCAAGAGGGTTTATTTTTTGGTCCAAAAATGTACAATTAAATTTATAATCGATTTTTGATTGTTACCATCTCCATAACTTACCCACTTTTTTTAAATAGACAAAAATGTTTGAAAAATTCATTATGCAAATTAGAAAAAAAAATAGACTAATCATGTTACGGGAAACCTGGTGGTTGTGTGTTCAATTACCACACGAACCATTTTTTTTTTTTTTTTTTTTTAAGGCAGTTTAGTTGATGGTGGATAGTGAATAGCAAAACAGGGAACAGTGAAATTACGAATTAATTTTGAAATGTTTAAGGAGGTTTGGGACAAAAGAACTTTTGTGGAAAACTTTTGTATTTTCCATGACGTCATCAACATACATTTTTCTGATTGGACGGGGGCCAAAAATGGCATAGGCCAGCATTAACATTTCTATTGTTAATCTTACAGTTAATATAAATGTTGTTTTTTTTTTTAATCGAAATCAAAATCAAAATTCATAATAAATTCCAGACAACCTAATTTTACATTTTTTAAATGTAAAATATGTTTGCATCTGAGATTCCATGGAATTACCAGACATTGCCTACACCAATGTCATGATATATAAATTCCGTCCTCAATCGTATTAGGCCTATATTGTAAAAGTATCGATATTGGTCGTTTTATGTTTTTTTGATAATTCTCAGTGCAGTGTGAACGAGGAGGCTTTGAAGAGGAACTTTTGCTGTCCTATTTGACAGGTATACTGTACCACCAGGATAGCAATGCTTTTTTGCTACTCTTTATTTTGGTGTAAGGAGGAGTCTCATTTTACTATGGAGCTACAAAAAT